AGTCCGAAAAATACAATGCTTTGAACCTGCCTTGCTTTTCGAACATTATCTGCAACCATTTTAAAAATGAATGTTGTGCATATTTTTGAAATGGGAAGAATTATCTCATTGAGTTCCCACTGTATCAAATAGCATACAGAGATCAGGGAGGGTTGACTTCTATACATCTCATTTGGCTTTGCTCTGAGTCAGTTCAGATTCTATCTGGAAGTGTGGGCCTCCTTGAACTCAGAGAGCTTCATGGGACTGAAGAGCTTAAAACTGCAGGACCTGAGAAGGTGGGGTTTTGAGACAGACCCCTCTGTTTCCTAGGAGGGCCTCTGTCTTTGTCTGGCTCTGGCCTCAGCCAAGGTGTTGGACCTTATCCTGATGGACATGATGAGCCTTGCAGCCTCCTTGGAGACCACTTATGACAGTGCTTCCCAAACTTGCACTTGCATAACAATCACTGGGGGGTTGTTAAAACAGTTTCCTGGGCTTTGCCCCTAGGGATTCTGATTCACTGGGTCAGGGTTGGCCCTGGGAACTTGCATTTCTAGCCAGCTCACAGGTGGTGCCCATGCTGCGGGTGTGGGCACCACAATATAGGAACCACTGCTCTGAGAGATTGAGGTCAGGCTTGCAGGGGTTGGTGGAAAGGTTCCATGGGTCTTGACTACTTTGGTGTTGGGGACAGGGTTGTAGGGAAAAGGGTAAAATTTACTCAGTTACATTCTACCTCTTTCAGCTTTATTTGGCATACTGTGGATCCACAGCTCTAACTTCCCACATTTACCACTGTTTTATGTGATTTGTGCTTAGAAGTAATGCTCATGGGCCAGTTATCTAGGAACTAGGGAAGTTGTGTTACTCCTGGATTACACAAATATGTCAGTTTTATAACTTTTTTTGAACTATAATTTACATACCATAAAAATCAGCCATTGTAAAAGTGATTCAAGGATTTCTGGTAAATTTATACTGTGCAATAATCACTGTAGTCCAGCATTAGAACATTTCCATTATCCCAGAAAGCTCCTTCAGAATCTGGTGCTTTTGACTGTTTATGAATTATGTTAATGACATATTCAAATACCTTTCCAAAGAATAGTAATACTTTAAAAAACCCTCTCTATGTTCGCATTGTTTTAGATCCAATAGATAGATCGCAGGCCACCTGTTTCATTTGTCATTGGTTAGTCTTCATAGAGTTTTTTGTATGCCACTTGCCCAAAATAAAATAACTCAGCCAGTATTATAACATCTACTGTGCCAAGCATTGTTTTGCCATCTCTTAAAATAATGCTTCATAAGTGTACTTCTCATGGTTTAAGAATATTCTCCAAGAGTTTATCATAATTCAACAGCCATCATGTGCCAGAAGGTGCACTAAAGGATGGTAAAGATGAATAATATGTGATTCCTGCCTTCAGGAGGCTCACAACTCTAGGGGATGACACAAAAATGCAAACTAATAAATATAGTAAGATTCGCTAGTTAAGTCCCCTATTACGCATCTTAGAATAATGGCAGGGGAAATGAATAGCATGAAATCCTGTAATTTTTTTGGCATAAGCTCCGTGACTTTCTTGCTCCAGAAATTGGCTTCACTGGCCCAGCTGAACTGTGCCATCCAAACATGTTGTCTCATGAGGGCCTTATCAGAGACAAAACCTTTTCTGAAGAAAATGCTATAACCAGAGCATCCCCGTAAAAGGATACAGTTTTAACAATGCTGGACCCAATAGTGGTGCATCATCTGATGGTCTGTGTTCCACAGTGAGAATCAAGAATGGATTTAGTCCACAACACCTTTCCTATACTGCATTAGGTATTTTGGAGCACAATGAAGAAACAATTTCTTGTCTCACTGAGAAGACAGGACTTCTACACCAAGAATTAAAGCAGACGTGCAAAGAAGTATTTGGTAAAGTTCTAAATTAAATGTAAGCCATACCCAAACATCTAGCACACATAGTGAATGCCCTGGGAAACGGGGCTTGCTTCCCCCAAAGCAGGACTGCCGAATGCAAAATGCCACGTACACATGAGGGGCAGGCAGAACGCAGGGACGTTACAGAATGTTGGGTTTCACAGGCTAAATGCCACTGTAAGATAAAGCATCAAGTTAAGGGGGGCTTGCTTTCCCCTCATACATTTGGACTAGACTACCACTTATTTCTGTGTATTAACTAAACTTCTCAATTTAAATTAGCTGTATAGAGAATAAATGAGCTGGATCATAATAAAGTAGAGAAGACTTGCAGTTTATTAGTTATATTGCTACATTTACTGGTGGTCACTTCTTTAAGCTTTCTCCATTTATGACAGAAAGGCAAGGCACTTAATTTCCTTGGAATGCAATGGATAATCTTTGGTGTGACCATGAAATAATGTTCTTTGAGAAGAAAAATGGGGATAGAGCTAAAAGAAAAAATGTCTTAACCTTAGCAATTTCACAGTTTCTTTTTTCAAAATCCAATCTTTTCCCTAATTTTCCATACTTATGAATTGGGCATGATTATACATATCGACTGTCCCCTAAAACCTATCCCAGGCATGAGGATTATGGCAGTAGGGCCTGTCACACCACCCTCTTCCCTTTCTTTGGAGGCCACTGTGGGTGAGACCGTGTGTGCGCCCAGCAACTGGGGGGGTGGTGTGTCTGCTCTTCCCTAGACCTAACCACCTCTGGTTTTGAACATTAGGCTGGTCAGAGGGCAATGTCAGTCCTCCTCCTACTCCATGGCCAGCACCACAGGCAAGCAGTCCAAATGACAACAGCCCTGCAATGAAAAGTAATACAGTGTTTTATTCCCTGGAAATGACAGTTGCCTTCCTTTCCACTGGCCTGTTTTCTGTCTTTCTTTACTAATTTCTGTTTGAGCACCCAAGGGTGCAAATCAGGGGCTACAAGGGTGGAGAGTTTTGCATTCTGACTTTTTCTGGCATAGTGTCCTAATTCATAATTCCCTTTATCAAACCAAATGAGGAGGAATCAAATTCCCATCTCCACGTGGCTGGGTGCTGCCCGACATTGGGTGGATACAGCAAGGTAGGAAAGACCACTGAGGTCTGCTGTCTTTAACTGAAAATACCATTGCCACCACCAAACAAGGCATTTAATTAGTGCTCCTTGGAGAGAGCTGGCTTTCCTTCGTTGTCACGGGAGGGCCTTTCAAGCTCATGGGATTGTTCTTTTTTGAGATGGGCCCCCAGAGAGAGCATGTGCTCTACTGAAGATCTCTGTATTTGCAGCTGCCTCTCTCTTCTTTGGTCATCACCCACTTTCCCCGTGTTGATCACAGGAAGTAACAGGTGGTGTCTTTATCATCCAGAAGCATCCCCATGATGTTCTTTTAGGTATTGCACAGTTGCACCTGGTTTCCCAAACTCCAGCAGTGGAGGTCTAGGGAATGTGAGGGCTGCCCCCAAAGTATAGTCACCTGACTCCTCCTAGCAAGGCCATAGCTATCTCTGAGGGCTGCCCTAGATCTTTGGGAGGTTAGGGGGAAGGGGGAGTGGGTGTAGCGTATTTTTACTGGAGATATCTTTAAGATATCTTGATATTCCCTATCAAGACTAGAAATAGGCTCATCCTCTTTGAATCAGTCTTGCTCCATAGTTTCCTGTTCCTACATGACTAAAAATGAGTTATTCCCTTTTTTAAAAGTTGTTCCCACTCTACGACCCAACCAAACTATATTGAGATCTCTTAAGTCTCAGTTTATCATGTCAAACTAAGCCAAGTGTTCTGCAGGCTAATTGCCCATGGAATTCAATTAACGTTAAACAGTAATACCTTGCGCGTTATCAACTCGCCTTGCTTGCAGTAATTTTATGTCTATAATAGATGCATTGATTATCTCATGATAAAATAATCTATGAGAGATTATATATTAAAAAAACGGGAATCAGAAGTATACCACGATTGGCACATTATCTTAATATTTCAGTGCCATTTTCATGAAAAGACTAAAGGCCTGTTGATGTGGGACAATTCCATCACCACTCTTCCATTACCCTGGCATAACCTCTTAGCAGCGTGTCCCACCAACATTTTCTGAGACGCTTTAAGCCAGATGGCAGGCACGTTCCTAGCCGCTCTCAGCGAGGATAACCTGTCAGACATTTTCTTCGTGCTTTTGATACTCCCACCTGTTGGGGAAGGGAAAAAAGCCTAGGTCATCCAAGCCAATCCTCATGTGGAACTTCGATCCTCATGTGGAATGATTTATATAGAGAAGAGCCCCCAGCTTATGTAGAAATCACTTGCATCAGGCACTCATTGGCAAATATTCTCATCTGGAAAAGAATGTGGTTCTCTAATTGTTGTCATTCGGGAAGTTAGGGCAGGTGGTTCAGAGAAAGAGCAGCTGAAGGGGAGGCTCTAGTGAGGGTGAAGTGGAAGGGGGGTGTGGGGGCGATTTAGAGCCCAGCAGGAGGAGGGGGGCATGTCAAAGACCTCCTTTCTCTGACGGGAGAGGGTGGAAGAAGGCAGTGACCCTGAGAAAAGAGGAGTGGCCAGGCCTTAGGTGCCAACCCTCCTCTAGGCCTGTTGCTTTGAAGCCTGAAGAGAGTGGCCACAGTATTTCCCCTGACCCAGCAGATTTGAAAAGATTCCTCCAGTGGGCACTGGAAGGCAACTTGCTTTCTCAGCCATTCGGTCTGATTTCTGAAATCACAGTGTTATTTCCTGCTTGTGTTGAAGCAGCACGGTCTGAGGTTTGGGGCAGCTTGGTGGGCGGTGCCGTCCACTGGAGCAGGGTACAGGTGTGGGTTAACACTGGGCTCGTTCTTCACTGAGCTTTAGGCCGTGGTTTAGAATTGTTTATCGGCCAGCCCACAGGGAGACACGGAATTCCCTAACTAGTTTTAGAGGCAGAGTGTAGTGGGATTTGTCTGACTGAGCAGCATAGCATCCTCCCTTTTCAAGAGGAGCTTGGACCCACCTGCATGCCGCATGGCAGAGGTGGGTGTTTGGAAGGGGCCTGCATTCATGTTTTCTCTTCTCTCCCCAGAGCCTGTGAAGGCTGCCTCAGACCTGACTGCCTGGTTCAGCCTCTTTGCCGACCTCGACCCATTATCAAATCCTGATGCTGTTGGGAAAACCGATAAAGAACACGAATTGCTCAATGCATGAGTCTGCAGCCTCACGGTGGGAGCCCACGTGCCACTCCTCGGCCACACCCCTGGGGGCACGCAGACGTATGAAGTGATCAGTATGCTGTTTTAATATTTACGTGCCATTTTAATAAAATGAGAGGGTCAGAGGCCCTGTTTATATTGGTATAATTATTTACTCTTATTTGGTATAAAGGGTTTGAGTGTATTCTCTGTGTGGATCTGATAATACAGGATTGTCCAGGAGCACTTTCCAGGCTGCCTGCTCTCCTGCCTACATCTGCATCATGGCTGCTGATGTGTCACTGGGATACCGTGAGATCCGAGCTCAAATCATAAGCCTGTTCTGTGTTAGGTTTAAATAATGAATCCTGTCGCCTTAGATGGGCAGCGGGAGGCTAACAGACCTTAAATGCCTCCTCGTGTACCCCCTGCCTCTGTGGCCCTTAGAGGGGGCTGCAGGAAGAGCCTCCCTTCCCGCCAAGCCACCTTCCAGTGAGCTCTGGGTGAAGCCCCGGCCACCACAGACACTCTTCCCCAGCCCTTGCCAGGTGGGCTGTGTTCTCACGTGGGCAGAGGGCTGGGCTGGAGTCCACTGCACGGACCTTTCTGTGGGAAGCAGCCATAGCTGCAGATGCTAGTGTCTCCTTCTGTCTTCTCCGTGGCTGGAATTCAAAAGCATGTATTTCTGGAGTCCCTTGTGATATTAACTGTTTGTTTTTTTAATTAAATGGCAGAGATATTTGACATGCGAAGGCAAGTTAATAGAGTCTGTTGTGGGGACTCAGTGGGGGAGGTGCCATGGGCGTGGGGGCTGGAGAGGAAGAGGACAAGGACTAGTTCCACCTGTGTGAAGCTATTGACATGATCCCATCCATCGCCCACATGCAGGCCAGGGGAGGAGGGCATGGACTTCTGATGGCTCAGGCAGAGATGGGAGCAAGTTTTGCATGTGGGCATATAAGCGGTTCAGACACTCCACCCATGTGGAGCCCCCGGGGCTGGTGGCTCTCCTCCCTTCCCTGTGTCGCCTGTGGCCCTGAGTGGGGGCAGGGTTGCTGATTAGCAAGAATTGATCCTACGTGCCCAGCTGGGCCAGGGAGGTCTCTGCTGCACTCTTGCTAGCTTCACTCTCCAGCTCTGAAAGGGTCTCCTGTGGCCACTTCCCCCAACACAAGAATGCGGCTTCTCTGCTCTCTGCGGTGTGCCCTCATGGAAGGACCTGGCCCCAGCAGTAGCCACTGTCCTCTGCAAGACAGCCTTGGGGGACTGGAAAGCATTCTCCTCCTCCTCCTCCTCTGTGCAGGAGTAGACCTGAAGGCGAGTTGGGGCTGGGACTCAGTGTGTTATATGGCTGGTGTAGCTCTGCTTACTTCCTGGCCAGCCCAAACTGTCCACGGAGTCTGTTTGTAAGAATCTCACTGAATGACTCCTTAGCCTGGCATGCGTGGTCTTTGAGGATATCAGGATATAGCCCTAGGGCCCCCACCCACCCTCCCACACACACACAGGAAAGCTTGCTGGATCCTTAAGCCCTTCCTCTCGATTCTTGGCGTATCATTTGCTGCACACTCCACCTGGGATGGCCCCCTCTCCTTACCCTCAGCTGCCATCACACTCCAACTCACCCCTCAGGAGCTCCTCACATCCCACCTCCTTTAAGTGTAGCACGCAGTTTTCCTTCAAGGAACCACCCCTCATCTCTCCTTCCTGCCCTTGTCTGTCTCATGATTATTAGCACATGCTGGGTGCTCTGCCTGGCCTGGGAGGCCTATGTGTATGCATTTGCCTCTAGCACAAGGTGTTGCAACCTCAGAGAACAGGGTCCCTGTTTCCCCAAATCTTCTGTGTCTCCCTAGTAATAACCACCCTGGAGTCACCTGGCAAGCACTGGACTCATGATTGCTGAATGGAGCTGCCCTGTGTGGAATGAGGATTAAGGACTCATCATTTCCTCCTGGGTCACATTTCCTTATAGCCGTGGAAGCCCACAGCAACCGCAGGAAGGAGACAAGCAGCAAAGCAGGAGGGGTGGACTTGCTCCATCCAGGCTGGAGGCACAGGGAGCGGGCTGGGGGGGGCAAAGGGGTGTGGGGTCCTTCTCTGTTGAATAGATCACTTTAAACACTAGCAGGTTGCATTTTAAAGTTGATCTGTGGGTGAAGGGGAGTGGAGGATTGTGGTAGTTGAACAGGCTTTGCTACCAGTAAAAGGAAAGTACTGCACATGGAGGCATTTTCTCCCTGAATTTTCTTTACCCATTTTTGTTTAAAAAAAAAAAAATTCAATTCCGGTTCCCATCTGCAATGCACTTGGCCAGGCTCTTGATCCCTCTTGATAGGCGTGTTTTGATCCTGGCTCGCACAAAGCCCCCTCAGCCACCTCTCTAGTTTAAGGAGAAGCAGCTGCTGGCTTGTTCTCTTATAAGCAGTCTGTGCCGTGCAGCCGGGGGGCTTCCTTGGGGGCCCACCTCGGGGCCCCTCTCCAGCCGCCTGTAGAAGGGACTGTCTCTGGCTGGAGGAAGACAAAAGTGCCCCACCCCCTTCATGCCCAGTCTCACTACTCCCTCATTTTCATCCTGTGTCTCCAGGCTGGTCTGCACCACAACTGCACTGGAACCCTCGGGGAAATTCAGAGAGCACCTGCTCCTTGAAAACTTCCCTGCCGTTTTAGGTGGTCTGCAAGTTTCCCTTCCCTTCTGCTGCCCCAGCCAATATAGAAAGAATATTCACATTTAAGGGAGGGAGCCAGAAACATTTCTTTCCTCCTTTTTTTTTTCTCCCAGCTGGCATGGGCTTTGGTGCACTTTATAGATTCATTGCCTTCAAAATGTAATTTTAGAAATGTCAGGTTGATTTTGAGCTGTGTGAGAGTGAGAAAAGCATCCGTCAGCTTCAGAATTAGAAAGGCACCAACTTAGAATTTTTGTCGGAGGCTTATGCCCAAGGAAACGTGGTCTGCTCAGAGTTGGCAGCCCCGAGAGCCCTGGGTTGCCAGTGGGCATGTAGAGGGGTCTCCCCGTCATGCCGTGGCCAGTGTTACGTGGGGTGTGGCGCCAGGGCCGAGGCCCCCGAGGTGCCATGGGAGGCTGCCTAGCCATTTGGGTCAAGATGCCTTCTGCCCATGCCTCAGCTCCAGGAGCCAGTTAACTGAGCTCCATGCTTCCCTCTCTCAGACGCCACCGCCCAGAGACCCCTCCCTCGGGGCCGACCCTGGCAATCGCTCCGGGTTTAACTATTGGCACTATTGATTTTGCCAGTATACCAAAGTGCATCTGTCTTTGTGATTAGTATCCTCCAGACAGGCCATGGCAGTCAGTCCTTTGATTCAAACCATCTCTAGTCCTCTGACTGGCACCATGCACAGTGCAGTGATGCTTTGTTGGAAAATAGACTTCAACTTGGAGCCAACTTCAGTGATTGGCAGTGGCTGCCAAGAATTCTGCACAGAGAAGAATCCTGATAAATGAGTGATGTTTGTACTGGGATTAGGGCAGGGAGTGGTGGTAATCATGCTGTGTGTTTCCCAACACCACATTAGACCTTGTCTTTCGTGGGGCTTTTAGAGTTTACTATTACTACTACAAGTTACAACTACTCTCCTCCTTCTCCTTGTCCTCCTCCTTTTTAAATAAATAACTAGGATTCCGGAACCCTGAGAGAGGGTTCTCAAAAAATCTCAAAAAATGCCTAAGTATTATAACCTAATTCAACTTAAATTCATTTAAACAACAACAGAAAATGAGGGTGGATTTATTTGCTCAGTTAACTAAAAGGTCTGGGTGTATGCTTCAGGCATAGGGGCTCAGGTGGGGGTCTCAGCAATTTCCCCCTCTTCAGCTCCCACCTTTGATTACCTCTGTGTTGCTTCATTCTAACAGACTTCTCATAAGCAGGCAGAATGGCCACCATGGTATCTCCAGCCAAAGTCTTGGAGTTGAGCCTGCCTTGAATCCTGTGTCCAGTCTTCAGTCAGCCACTGGAATCAAGGTGGGTGGGGGTGGGAAATAGGCTGTTTCCCCAGCTTTTCCTGGGCCTGTCCTGGAGCCTAAGCCTGAGAAAGGATGGTTCCTCTAGGGGAAGCTGTGCTGCTGATACCAGAGGGATAAATGGATCCCTGGGCAGGAAAATGCCATGGTGATCCACTCCAGTTTCCCCTGGAATGACTTTGAGGACACACTTGTGTATTGTTTCTGGAGGGGGTGTGGGTCCAGGAGGCTGAAAGAACTGGAATGTTTTCCAGAAACCCGTTGGAGGCCACCTCCAGCCCTGGGACTAGAAGGCTTGGTGCCTACTGTGCAGCTCTTTTATAGCTGACAGCCAGGACAAGGGACCACAGAGCTCTTTGCATCCAACCTGCTGATATCCAGATGAGAAAACTGAGGGACGTATTTTAAAAACTATAATTTAGTGGGAAACCGGATTAGAACCCACATTGCCTAACTGCTGGGCCAAGGCTGCTTTTACTTCAAGGGGTTTGCTAGAAACAGAGAGCTGAAGAAAGGAATTCAAAGACACACAAAACTCCTTTAAGAGCCCACATCTTTTTTCTCCTCCCAACTCTGTCTCTCTTTTTTTTTTCTTGCCAATTATTAAACACACCTTGGGGGATGCACTCCAGGACAGTAGTGTAGGGCACTTGTGAAGAGTTTGGGTTCTGAAGCTGGAGAAATCTGTGGCCAAGCCTCCCAAGTTGAGGTTCCACCAGCTATAAGTCACAAACCCTCTCTGCACTTCTGTTTTCCCTTCCTCCCTAGTAGCATTGCCTCTAATGGAGTCATTACAGGGACTGAGTTGATGCCCCAAAGATGTGGCACTGGGCTCCCACACTGCAGCACACAAGGGTGGCCATTCCCCTCCCAGAAGGTCACTTGCTTGGTAAACGATACTGAAGATAGGGAATGAGAAGCTGCTCTCTCTCCACGGCTTTCTGAGAGACTCTCCAAGCCCCATCTTCTGTCCCCATCCCTTATGAACTCGTTCCTAAGCATCACGAGAATGGCAGAAGCTGGTAGGAAGGGACTAGAAAGTCTAATGAGTAAGGTGCCCCGGATTTTTCCACAAAGTTGGACAGAATTCTGTGCGGAGACCAGGAGAAATGAAGTGGGTTCTCTGCCAGTTAGAAGGGACATGCTGCAAAACTTGCCAAACTTAAGGGTATTTTTAAAATGAACCACTACCCAGAGCACTGATCAAAAGGAATTGGGATGCAGAGCAAATTGGAAGTCTTACACACTGTTGATGGGAAAGCAATATGGAACAGCCACTTTGGAAAAGTTTGGCGGTTTCACATAAAGTTAAACACACCATACAACCTGGTCATCCTACACCTAGGAATTCACCCTAGAGAAAAAATATATATATATGTTCACACAAAAACCTAGATGTGAATGTTGGTAGCAGCTTTACTCATAATCTCCAAAAACCAGAAACTCAAATATCCTTCCCCTGGTGAATGAGGAACCATGGCACATGCATCCATTGAGATCTTATTTAGCAGTGAACATGAAGCAACTATTGATTCATACAACCACCTGAGGATTCATGTTGCTATCATGTACCTCTGATATGATGCAATGAGAAGGGAACTTCACCTCTCTTAGTATTCTTTCCCAAAACTCATAACCCAGTCTCGTCGTAAGAGAAATATCAAACAAACTCAAATTGAGCGACGTTCTATAAAATACCTGACCAATGTATCTCAAAAGTGTCAAGGTCATGAAAAACAAGAAAAGACTGAGAAACCACCACAG